TGACGGGACGAGCGAACGAACTCCGTTCCCATATAAAAAACATGAATACATACAGCTGGAAACGTTCATTCATTCTAGCTAAGGTTCATGGACCATTATGGTTCGAGCGCACGTGGTTCATAATGTTTCCAATGTCCATCGACCCCGTTCATTGTCTCACGTACACACAAGAGATTCATGCAACCAAAACAATGGCAATATTACGGAACGAAACTGGTCCGGAACATAATACGATGTGGGATTGCTTTTTGTTTGATCAAATAGTTATAACTGGCAGTCCATTGGTAAGTTTAGATTACGTATTCTAGTATAAAACAAATGCATAGCTTCCCTAGCTTGAGCAACTAACGACATCTTGACTGCTAGGGAATTTCTTGTTCGTTTAAAAACCAGGCGTTAAGTATATTAGTGACATCTGCATATAGCAAAACAATACTTTTTTTTACAGATTCTAATCAATACCTTTACATATTTTCTGTTGTTAATATTCTTCGTGGTCATTTAGGTATTGCAAAGAGAATTGCCTTCATAATTTCTGCTATTGTTATTTAATTTTTTTCAGGATAAACAAATCGTCATCTTGCAGTTCTAAACCCGAGTCCAATTCAGGGGATGTATTGATATTTTGGAAAAACATAAAAAATCAAAGATCAATTTCCTCTGATTTCGTTTGTTTTACGAAATGTATTCAGTAACTTCCTTAATCTTTAGGGGACTTCGTACTCATATTTCTTAAAGTTTTCTGCATATTAAAACGATACTGTTTGATATACTTAATTATAAAAATCTGAAGTTCTTTGCTAGACATCAATGAAGATTTCCTATTTTGCTCTGACTTATGTCCACCACATATTCGTCTAGCCAAATGATGATTCTTTCGAGCCGTTTTACACATTCTTGAACACAGTGTACATCGAAATATAAATTACAAAAGTCGTACACTTCAAAGTCAATAACCACATTAAACACATCCTTTGTACACATAAAATAATCCACTCTGCTAGCATTTTACAGGTCGTGTTTCCTGTACACTCATATTGTCCAAATCGTCCATTACATAATAACATATTAAAACTTTTACATAATTCAATTAATAAATGACGAAAATGATTTGTGTATTTATCTTTATAAACCCGTTTAGAGCTTATGCTTCCAGTTTTGAAAACATTTATTACACTTAGATCTCTTTCATTTACACTATCAAGACCAAAGTATTCGCTACGGAAGTCTTCAAGTTCAGAACATTATGGTTGATAGACAACTTCTCTTCTCAGTTCATCCCGCATATCCTCTTCTGCGAATGGGGATTTCTCGGGTGGTAAGTAGACACAGCCAAGAATCAAGTCACTGTCAGTTTTCATAAGTTCTTTTATTCCCTTGCACCAAAATACATAATCAATGGTTGCAGGTGATACATGTACATTTTTTATTAGATCACTAATAATAAACGCAAGTCCACAATATTTAGACTGTTTTCTATTTTTAAATTACACATTGTGTCCAAGCAAGTCTATTAAGTCGATTTTGTCAAGTTTTGTCTCACAATCACCACTAATATGGTACCTATTGATCATTTAAAAAAAAATGTGGGTAATTTAATTTTGGTAACAGGCCACCAACATTAATAGCACAGTATTTTGGATGTCGGTTATGTAAACATAATGCTGTGCCTTTAATTTGAGGGCCTTTGCAAAGTCTTTAACAAGTTATTTGTCGTTGCGATACAAGAAATTCGTATTTCCCCGTAATGCCAGGTTTACCTATGCGATGCACAGTCTTAAACTGAATGTCCTTATGTATGTGTAAACTTGTTCCAATGAAGGAGGTCAGTACCTGTTTGTGTGATGATTTGATGATTTTGAATAAATGTGGGCTCACCCTTTCAAGTGAAAAAAACTGTGGGTGCTCCATTCAGACGCAGGAGGAAGGTGCTATGATACCCCTTTCTCCTCATGCGGGGAAATGGAGCATCTACGTGAAATAATAGAGCACTAGTGGTGGTGACTGCTCTATCACAAATGTAGCATATGAAGCAGAAATTTGAAGAATAAAAATCATAATATTTGCATTCACCTGGAATGACTCATATAGGCAAACAATTTAACGATAATGTCTGCAATCCACCAGAATAATCACTCGATTAATTGCGAACATTAGCCAACCCGAGACATTCATGACAACTCAGGGATTCCCAAAGCAATGGACGCGTATCTTAATTCACTACTGTTCTATTGTTGGCTAGTCACAATAGCTAGACTGGGCCCTAGTGGAACGGTTCACGTATAGAAGTCCAGCAACCGCAACCAATTATTACGAGCCGAAATTATGTTTATGGTCTAGTTAACACAGGTCTGTGGCTTCTCAAGATTCACACTTCATTGTTCTTTTGTATCTCACTATTCATTTGATCTATTTGTCAAATTCAACAGCAACCCGGCCCCGTGTTACACGCTCAGCTGTTGCACACACGCTACACACCCGTTCTACACGCGTGTTCAACAGGTGCTCAATCTGTGCGCAACCCCTTGAGCACCCGTGTCATATGCGTGTAACACGCGTTCTCAACGCGTGTAAGGGAAATAAACTTCTAGGCAGTAGTGTATAATGTTATCCATCAATTCTGTGCTCGAAAATATCTTCCCATCTCTCATAAACATTACCTCAACATTGCAAGTTTTCCCGTCATGACCGTATTAATATATAGGATATTACATCAGAAGGTGGTGAAGTGTCCGTCGGACAGTGACAACAGTCAATATAGTTCCAAGTGAAACCTGTTTCTTTGACAGTGGCGTAACTACATATATGCAAAATAACAAATGCCTACACAAATTGTTTCTACTTACCTTTCAAGGCAACCCTACGGTCTGACCGCTAGAGTAACTTCCCTTTATCAAAGGGAAGCTACTCTAACCCTAGTCTATGTATGAGACGTCCCAGACACACGGACAGTCGGCCTGTCTTGTCTTTACTTTACGAAGTGCAGTCAGATGTAAACAGCGACAAGACGTAACAAGGTAACAATTCGGACATTGTTCGGCAAATCCAACTGTTTTAATTTGTGGAAACGTTCCAAGCCACAGGGGTCTACAAACACAGATATGGAAACTTATTCCGCTTGGCTAGCGTTCTCGCAAAATAGTTCGCAATTTATATCTCCAAAGCTGCCAAAACTTGTAAAATGCCTTAGCTACGTCACAGTTAGACAATGATTTTCAGTATATTAGACTATTCTTTTCTCCAGATTCCCGATGGTTAATTCTGTCTCGATCCCCGAATGACAAGGGAGACGCAATGTTTGTTTGTGAACAGTGAAAGTAGTCCCCACTTGACCTTTGATATTTACATCTCTATCCGCATATGACCCCAACGGATATCGTTTTTATCCATTTGTTGTATCCTGCTAAGGCACCTACCCATTATATGATAAATATATTTACATCCCGTTGTTCAGAAATATTCTTGTAAGAAGAACAGGTAGATTCTATTCTCTCTTTAGTGATTTCTCTGAGATGGATGGTTGTTTTAAGCGTGAACGAATACTAAGGAGTGTTTACATCCTAACCTGCATGAACTCATCCCAAAAATGTAATATTAACCCTAGGAGAAGTGTTATTATATATCACTCATAAACCGAAAGAACAATGATCTAAAACATTTGTCAACAATATTAGGGGCGGTCGGGTAGCCTAGTGGTTAAAGCTTTAGCTCGTCACGCAGAAGACCCGGGTTCGATTCCAGACATGGGTACAATGTGTGAAGTCCAATTCTGGTGTCCCCCGCCGTGCTGGAATATTGCTAAAAGCGGCGTAAAACCATACTCACTCACTCAACAATGTTATGTTTCAAACACATTTTACACGAACCTTAGGAAACGGCCGAAAATTATCTCTTACTTGCTTACATGTACTAGATATTCGTAAAACCATGTGATGTGTCATCGTCTGGTGGTTTTCTTTCTCGGCTATTTATGCGCAGGCTGCAAGTTCGGCCCATTAAAGCGCCAACGGTACTTTGTGAGTAAAATCAGAAGAGTTTTATACACACAATCCCGAGTATTGCCCAAGTTTGTGGTTTTATGAGATACGATGAAAGGACAACATCATGTTGCACACATTCCTTCTGACTTTATATGTTTGCATAAAGATAAAACTTCAGTCAAATTCAGTGTGTGCATGACCAGATCATTTTATACCTGTATTTTAATACATTTTGATAGGAGTACGGTCAAACATTTCCCAATCGGACATGTTGTACCTATCTCTTGATACCCACAGCGGGTACCCGTGTATGGTCGGGTAATAGGGGGTATGGTCGGTTAAAAATTGGAATACAGGAGTCCAAATGATACATCAACGGTATAAGATATCATTTTGCCTAATATTTCAGCAAGCTGACGAATGAGAATCAACCCTTTTCTTTCTTAACCCTCTGGATGCCGATTTTTTTTCTGACGCACATTTTCCTAAGATCGGTAAAGTGAAGGTTGTGCGAGAATTGCGCTCACGCGGCACTGGATATACCTCTGGCTATAAAATTACGCAGAGGTGGAGAATATTAAATTTCCTGAGCTGTCATTGTAGCTTCTACTATCTTGGTCGAGGTTACAAGTCTATATACATTGTTTGGAATGCTCATTTTACATGGTCTGCCCAACGTGAACGCCGCTATAGTATCTTTTCACTCGCTCACTCACTCACTCACTCACTCACTCACTCACTCACCCAACCCACCCACCCACTCACTCACTCACTCACTCTCACCCACCTATCCAAACCCACTAACTCACTTAACCAAACCAAACCAAATCACTCACTCACTCACTCTCACCCACCTATCCAAACCCACTCACTAACCTAACCAAACCCACTCATTCACTCGAAACAAAAATCAAATTGAAAAGAACCCATTTGAGCTGCCACGCGTGTAGATGTCATTGTAGCTTCTACTACCTTGGTCGAGGTGTACAAGTCTATATACATCGTACGTAGTCTCACTGGAGTGACCTCGTTCAGCACACTATCATGATGGTCGAGGGACACCCAAGTCAGGATGGAGACAGCCGGACAAAAAAAGAGAGTGTGATATACGGGGTAGAGGACACTCCCTCTATTCCACTATGGTTCGTCTTTGGTCTCCAGGTAGGAATGGTACTTTACGACATAACACGTGTGCTTACAGATATATGCCATAGCTGTTTGTTAAGATACGCTATAACCAATTGGGACGTTGCTTTAAGGTATTCAATGCTCTTGTAAAGAACAGTTTTGATCTTGGTGTTTGTGTTTACTTGTTCACTGTGTAGCATTGAGTCGGTGATTCGTGTTGGAATGAATTGATCAGACTTGTTTGGAATGTTCATTTTACATGGTCTGCCCAACGTAAACGCCGCATTAGTATCTTTTCAACAAAAGCTGTGTCCACATACTGACCCTTAGGCAACTAAAGGTGGTTGAGTAAAACGACTGAATAAGAGTTGCATTTATGTTTTGGTTATGAGAAATAGCTAAAGGCTTTTGGTAGATGGTCACAGCTCAAAGAAGTGACAGGGCTAATTATATTATACGCATCCTCGCTCTCTCTTTATGAACCTCGCACTGCGGATGCCCACACCACCAACATCTATATAGACATGTCATACTCTGGTGACATTCTCACAGAGACCAGAGGCCACAAAAGCAGCTGACACCTCGGTCGTGATATTAATAATATGTACACATCTTTGAATGCTTATAATGCCTCCACATTTCTCGCATTCCGTATTCCTCTTTCTTATAATGGCTAGTTTTTTATCACTTCGTTCCCGACAGCATATAGAAATCAGCCTACGAACACGGTATTCACTTCAGAGATTGATGAGTCATGCTATTTGGCTAAACAGTGGTGTTAACAAGGCTTTTCACAAACTTCAGAAGTAGAAAGTGTACTTGAATCACCTTGCTTAAAGGGCAAGTTCACACGGAAATGAACCTATTTTTCTTGTACTTTTTCCACATTAAAAGTGTTAACATAGAAGTGTCATAGACAAAAATATAAAAATATCACAATTAATTAACATATTTTTCGCATTAAACGATTTATATTTTTCACATTTACCAAGTGTTCTATTTCCACAACAAAAACACCATGGCTTATGCCCCTTGCAATATGACGTCATTGGTGCCAATTGATAAACATTATGACGTCATCATGCTTATTTGGAGCCGCTTCACGTGGTGTAGGTCCAGGTGTGTGATTCTAGCGTCTCAGATGCCAGCCAGCATAGTGTTATGCTGAGTCACCACTGCGCCGGAGTGTGTCGTAGGCCATGTTGTTTTACCGCAAACTGGTACTTGATATCTTTTGCGTTGAGAATAGACAGGGACCCAGTTGAATTGGCACCAATTACGTCATAATCTAAGGGGGATAACTCAGGCCTGTTTAGCTCGAAAAACGAAGGCCTCATAACGGCATATCATTTTCACACTATTGTGAGCTTCCTACGTTCACTGTGAAAAAATTGAGTGTATATTTTCAAACACAGATACTAATTAATTCTAAAATTGCGTTTTGTTTAGAAAAAGAAAGAAAGTGATTTTTGCGTGTACACTTCCCCTTTAAGTATATGGGTTTCAAATAGAGGTTTGAAATGAGATACCGTATGAGTACTTACAGATACGGTATCAAGTTGGAGGTTTCAAACGAGATACCGTATGGTATGGTTTCGAGTTGGAGGTTTCAAATGAGATACCGTGTGGTATGGTATCGAGTTGGAGGTTTCAAATGAGTTGCCGTATGGGTACTTACAGATACAGTATCAAGTTGGAGGTTTCAAATGAGATACGGTATCGAGTTGACGGTTTCAAATGAGATACAGTATCGAGTTGGCGGTTTCAAATGAGTTGCTGCATGGGTACTTACAGATACAGTATCAAGTTGGAGGTTTCAAATGAGATACGGTATCGAGTTGACGGTTTCAAATGAGATACAGTATCGAGTTGGCGGTTTCAAATGAGTTGCCGTATGGGTACTTACAGATACAGTATCAAGTTGGAGGTTTCAAATGAGATACGGTATCGAGTTGACGGTTTCAAATGAGATACAGTATCGAGTTGGCGGTTTCAAATGAAATACGGTATCGAGACATCTAAGTACAAATATTACCTGATTCATTTCAAACTTATCATTACAGCACTATTGTTTGGTTATAGCGGAAGTGGTGAGTGGGACAACGGTTGAGTCAGATATTGAGAAAAGAAAAGAAAATGAAGAGATCCTTGCAAGGCTTCGTTAGTTCGCAAGTCCACATCACTATTACGACTTCGTGTGGTTCTACAGACACATCTGTCCTAACAGTGTAACGTGAAAGACATGATGTCACAGTGCGGAATACAGCAGCTTAACAAGTCAAGAGACATCACATTCTTTAACAACGTTTGTGGAGTAAGATCAGGCGGAATTGTGGACATATTTCCACTGTTTAACATAACAAAAACACGACCAACATTTTCATCCCTCTTCTCATCTTCTGCACCAGAAAATCAAAACTGGCAGAACGCATGTTGTCCGTTCAATATCTGGCGTTGTGTTACTTTTCTCCACAACCTCTCCTATTTACTACTGGTAAATGTTCAACATATGCCTTTACATCATAATGTCATTATGATATCCTTGTGTTGACAAATATTATGTCACTGAAACCTTGACATTGACAGCATGTGAACGCTAGGCTAAAGAAACCGCCACGGAAGGGGCTCGTGTAACATCAACAGACATTGGCGGACCAAAACATATTCTTTCACAGGTGTGTCATGAACATGGGTCGACAAACATATAGGTTCAGGTGTTAATGTTCCTAGCACAAAGTAACTTGGGTGAATATTTTTATATATTTCAAGTCAGACAGGTGGTGGTTTGGTGTTTAAGGATCGGCTTCCTTTTAAATGACACATTACTCACACAGCTGCAAGTGTTGCAGTTACAAACAACATAAACTACTTTGTATTCCATGTGTTTGTACATCGGATGATAAAAGTGATTGGGGATACAACTTCTACTTCCACCGGTTGTGATATTTCTACCATCACTTCTATAACTGCTTCTGTCACCGCCACTAATTACTACTTTTGTTTGTGTGTTTAACGCCGCACTCAGCAATAGTCCGGCTACATGACGGCGATTTGTAAATAATCGAACATGCACCAAACAACCTAGTGATTGTCATCATGAGCATCGATCCATGCAATTGGGATACGATGACATGCATCAACCAAGTCAGCGAGCCTGACCACCCTATCCCGTTAGTCTCCCCTTATAACAAGCATAGGCGCCTTTTACAGAGAGCATTAGTTGCTTAAGACCTTTTCAACCCCGGATCTTCACGGGAATTACTACTACTACTACTACTACTACTACTACTACTACTACTACTACTACTACAGGGGCGGTCGGGTAGCCTAGTGGTTAAAGCGTTAGCTCGTCACGCCGAAGACCCGGGTTCGATTCCCGACATGGGTACAATGTGTGAAGCCCATTTCTGGTGTCCCCCGCCGTGATATTGCTGGAATATTGCAAAAAGCGGCGTAAAACCTCACTCACTCACCCACTACTACTACTACTTCATACATTTGCCACTACTATTGCTTCTATTACTACGGCTGCTGCTGCTACTACTAATGCTACTATCACTAGTGATTTTAATACTGCTGCTACTGCTACTGCTACTACTACTGCCACAGCCACTGCTGTTACTACTGTTACTCTCATTACTACAGCTGCTGCTACAGCCACTACTATTACTACTACTACTACCATTGCTACTGCTTCTCTTGCTACTACTACTGCTGCTACTGTTGTTACTACTGCTACAGCCACCACTGCAACTGCTACTGTTGCTACTACTCCTGCCGCTACTGTAACAGTTGTTGTTGCTTCTACAGCCACTACAACTACTACTACTACTACTACTACTACTACATATTAGATTGAAGGTCATTTTGCAATTTACAATACTTCGGCTAATCAGAAGGTTTGGTTGCATAAAATATTCACATGAACATCCATAGCAATGTTGATTTAATATATGTGATTCAGTGTGATTGTGGTAACCAATAAACGGTTTCTCGTGATGTGTTCATGTATGTAAATATAAACTTTCAATGCAAGAAAAAAAGAATATCTGCCGAAGCAGATTAAAATTTGGCGTAAAGGTCATAATAGCTCAGAAAATTGTATGAATGGACCACTGAAAATAAGTGTTGACACCAGGTGTTCCTGAAAAAATGGTAAGCATGTCCTGCCCAAGCGGTAACACCCGCCATTCGCACAATTTCTATAAAAAATAGTATTACCCAGTATTTATTGCCTGACGCCGCACAGCAGTACTCCTGCCATGCGACGGCGGCCTGTAAACAAACAATCAAGTGAACGATGAACAAGTAAATCCTGCTACACGATAGTGCATTTACTGATATGTTAATTTTGAATACTTCCTGTCAGAATGATGAGATCTGATTGGTCCACTTGATCTTGATAAAATACTGTGTATCCCGCCGTGGAGGAGAAAAAATTTCTCAGCGAAAGAATAAATCTCTTATACCCCGCCACGAGCAAGTCAGGCTGCACGTGGATTTCTGAGAGGCAGAATAAACCCTTTATACCCAACTTCAAAGCAAAAATCCGCACGCTTTTTCCGAGTCAATGGAAGTCACGCGACATAGCGCAACCTAACCTCAGCTCAAAAGAACAGCTGTTTTCTATCAATTTTGAATTATTTTAAAAAGTCATGTTAAAACATGTCGGTAAGATAAATTCGGTGTAGCAAGATCAATTGGGGGAACAAGGGGTTTTATGTGCCCCTCGTTAGGTCTTATACATCTCGCCTCCGGCAATAAAACCCCACGTGATCCTGCTGCAACTTGTGTGTATGCTTTTGTGCGGCAGTGAGCATCTCCGAGGGCCACGGTGATCAAATGAATAGGTTCATTCGTCCTCTCTTTGTACAAGTTGTGGAGCACCAGCATTCATACGTATCCCTCTATGAGGACTCACAATATTGACACATTACATACACTGTCCCAGTTTGATACCGCTTGTGTTTACAGTCCTTGGACTGTAGACGTGTATGTATGCATAAGGCAACACACGATAGGGCCTGTCAAATAACCGTAAGGAATTCCTGTGGCGTAAAGTGATTAATATTAATTAATTTCTTATCTTTGAGATTCAGTCCATATCGTGGACAATGACTCGTGTCTAGATATACGTCATCACTCATCATGTTAGTATGCAAACCAACTTGAAAGATTTCTGCCGAAAACGTCCAAATATAGTCGAATAAAGCAGATAAAGTGACAAAACCCTTTCCATATCCAACAGATATCACTGCATAAAGCATAGTCTATTTACGATTCCGACAAAATCATGAGCATGTATTCATGAATAACTATCAAATAGTAATGATACCAGGTGTTCACAAAAAGGTGAGCGTATCCTGCCCCACCGGTGGCACCCGTCATAAACACATGCAAAGGCAAGTCAATGGTTCACCCGCAAAATATGGGAACATATGGTACAAGTCAAACTAGGGAATTGCATCTGACATCATTTTTGTCACTGATGCGTCAAACTTGGAAATGTCCTCCACATGTCTACCATAAAACCTTTTGAAAGCTTTACTGAGGCCTTGAATGTTGTAACCTTGATCAAACAACTTCTGAGCAAGAGTCGTATGACGCTTTTTGAAATCTTGGTGGAAAGAGCATGCTCGATTGTTTGTCAAAGGCTGCAAAATGTAAACACCAATGGCTGGAGCTGCTGTATTATTGCTCGACATGAAGGGAACGTTGACTGTTGGAAAAAGTGCTGATAGGACTTCAGAAACTCGCAAACTCCTGATCAGAAAGATGTTAATACTGTCATATATATATTTATACATTATATTGTATAATATTTCCCGGATATATTGACAGAGCCGTTCTTTACTGTGGAATGAGTGGGTGACTTGGTTCAAAGCCACTTTAAAAGCACTACAGTTATACGAGTGAGAAAGTTAATGGGATAGGAAAGTCTGAAGTGACGTGCCAGCAAATGTTTATGGTTTATGGTATAAGATTTTGATATTTTGGACCCCTCCCTTTAAAAAAGCAGGAGATCTGGTTCTTATTTCAGCAAACCGTGATGTGTATAACTGGGACGCTGTCCATCCCATTCCTGATCACCCGCCAGATCTGTGCGTCCCAGCTGACTGACGTCACAGCCAAACTGCTCAGCGTATCCTTCTTCATGTGTGGAGTGTCCACCCTTCTGCAAGACACCATCGGCATCAGGTGACTGAGTCATACCTTCAATACTTACAATGAATTACCCCCATCTTTTCCACCACGTTACGGAGAGCGGAAGGTTCGGGGTTCGATCCCCGGCCGCGTCATACCAAAAGACGTTAAAAGATGGTACTTGTTGTTACCCTGTCTAGCGCTCGGCATAAAGGGGCTAAAACAAGGACTGGTCGGCTCGGAGTCAGTATACTGTGTCTGAGTGAGGTATTCATGTTAAACTGCGGCATGGTATCTCAGTGTGCTAGCACAATAAATCGGCATCAGTCCGGACTAGTACAAGCAGCCACACACACACGTGCATGCACGTCGCTATATAAGTGCAATAATCTTGGACGCGACGTTAAACCCAATTTCACCTCACCTCACCTCCACCACGTGAGAATAGGTACACAGAAACCTGTGCTGTCGTAAGATGCGTACAGTGGATTGGGTGGTCAGGCTCGGTGATGATCTGCTTGTCGCTGTAACCCCACGGCGTGTATCGTTGCTTATTATATCCGTCACTGGATTGTCTGGTCCAGACAAGATTATCTACAGACCGCAATCACATAGAAGGAACAGTGCTGATTGCAGTGTTACTCAACAAATAACCCAAAAGTTAAGCCTCGAATAAGCCAACAATAAGTGTCAGAGATTGGTGCCACATACAGTAAACTACGGTTATAACGCACTCAAAGGGACAACTGATTTTAGTTCGATATAACCGTAGTTCATTATAAGCATATTCAGTCAAGTCGCATTAATCCGACATGATTGGTTGCATATGGTTATGTCGGATTAACGAGTATGTCGGATAAACGAAATTAAGTAGCAGCAACGTTCGTGTTCGAAAAGCGGACAACTACAGATAGATAACGATACAAACACGTAATGAAAAATGAAATTTTCATATTGTTATGTTAAATAACATCATGCAACCTCTATAGCTTAACACAAAACAAATGTTACTGACTGTATGACTTATTCAAAATAATTTAAAAAGCATAGTCTGGAATGGAAGTCGCCAGTTTGAAACTGGTACCTCAAAGCTAAAGAAAGCTGCTTTTTTAGTGAGTTCGTTGACTTCCTGTTTGTCATTTCATTGGTCGGTGATAGTTCGCGAAAGGTTGTTCTAACGTGACCTGTAATGGGATGTCCTCGAAGATAGCGATAACTTGTATCTTATTTTAATAGCTTGAGTGCGTGAGTGAGTTGGGTTTAACGCCGCTTTTAACAGTATTCCAGTTATATCACGGCGTGTCAGCTTAATGTGGGAGGAAAGCCCGAAGTGATGCGAGTCTCAGACGTTCACCACTTCGGTGAAATCCACGAGCATGGGTATGGTGGGGACAAACCTAGAAACATAATCGGGGCGAACCGGGATTCGAACCCACAAGCATAGGTTTCTGGCGTACCCAAGGGACGCAACTCTGCACAGCGAATCGCGGCGCCTGAGACGACTGGGCCACCCGTGCCCCCTTAATGAGCTTGAGGTAATCTAAGCATGTGATTGAATGTTAAGCAAGTATACTAGTATATCTGCAGCCGTTGTAACATAACGCTACCAGCTGTAGCGAGGCGTGTTTGTTATAAACGTAGTTTACTGTAGTTCACTTATTTTGGAAAATAGATTTTGTCTTTGTCGAGACGAGCGTACGACTTAACCACAAGTCTACCCTACTGTTAATAAACAGTTGAACATGGCTAGTCATATCTGTCTAACAGGTCTTGCAGTGACCCTATAAATATTCATCTCGTGTTGACCATTTGTCTCGCGTGACTTGGCCTTATCTCAGTATATGTTTTGGAGGCATGTATACACTGACACCTGATATACAAACTACAAGAGAGTTTGAAGGTGATAGCGATACAACAGAACAGCTGTTTATCCCTACGTGTGCTGTGATATACAGCAGAAAACATTCCAGGTATTCATCACAGGTCATAAGTATGGCACAGGCAGCCCCGATTAACTTGAGGAAAAACTACTTCAAAGCTACCTCTGATTTCAGAGCTCTGTTTCATAATGTGTCCATGTGATACCGTGTGCCCATGTGTCTTGTTTCAGGATATATGGGTTGATGCTATCAAGTGTAATACCTCTTAAAATGCGCTTTGAAAATCATACACCAGCTCCAATGATTGTGTTGATGAGGACGTAGATTTCAGTCTGCTGAAGTCGAGTGTATTGTAAGCAGTGGGATGTGAACCGTATGTGTTTCATACATTAAGTCTATATGACACGTGGTCTATTGCGTCAGTGCGCGTCGCCTTGGGGGAAGTGTTTATGCAACGTGAATAGAGCTTCTACAGCGCACATGAAGTGCTCTGAAAGGGCTGCATGAGACGAACACTGCTTTGGTTTACATACGCTTTGAACCGTATCAGGTTGCGATGGAATGTTCCGTGATGAAGTGGATAAATCGTCTGCCCGGAGTGCGGAATGTCGTGGGTTCGATTCCCGGCCGCGTCATGCAAAAAGACATTAAGAGATGGTATTTGTTGTTACCCTGCCTGGCTCACGGCATTAAGGGGCTCGGTGGCAGCTTCCTGTGTCTGAGTGGGGTATTCTTGTGAAACAGCGGGATGGTATCTCAGTGGGCTTGCACTATAAAATCGGCATTAGTTCGGACTAGTACAAGCAGCCACACACACACACACACACACACACACACACACACACACACACACACACACGAACACATGTGGAGCTGACAAACCTAGAAACACAGTCAGGGTGAAGCTGGGATATGAACCAACTTTCAAAGGTTTTAGGCTGGCCTAATAAACGCTGCTCGGCAAAAGGAATTGCGGCGTCTTATACAAAACTGAGCCACCAATAATGACAGATTGATAGAAATTCCATTTCATTATTACATTACATTGCCCATTACATTGCTCACATATACCCCCATGGAATTACATGTTGGTTCAGCCTTTATTCACCCCTGGTTGGTTCTATATGCTTACGACCGCCTCCGTTGTCTAGAGGTAGAGCCTCCGCCCGGAGAGCGGTAGGCCCGGCCGCGTCATACCAAAAGACGTTAAAAAATGGTACTTTTTGTTACCCTGCCTGGCGCTCGGCATTAAGGGGCTAAAGCAAGGACTGGTCGGCTCGGAGTCAGTATACTGTGTCTTAGTGGGGTATTCATGTTAAACTGCGGCATGGTATCTCAGTGTGCTAGCACAATAAATCGGCATCAGTCCGGACTAGTACAAGCAGTCACACACACGTGCATGCACGTTGCTATATAAGTACAATAATCTTGGACGCGACGTTAAACCCCGGGGCCCTTTTCATCTCATCTCTATATGCTTACGTCATCTGCTGTTTGATTGTGTTTATTTACGTCAACCCCTGGTTGCTCGTCTTTGTTTACGTCATCGGCTGGGTGATTGCCTTTGCTTACGTCATCGGCTGGGTGCTTGTCTTTGCTTTCGTCTTCCGCTGGTTGATTGCCTTTGCTTACGTCATCAACTGGCTGCTTGTCGATGCTTACGTCTTCCGCTGGTTGATTGCTTTGATTAGGTGATCCCCGCTGGTTGATTCATTTTTGTCTTTGCTTAAGTCATCCGCTGTTGCTTGTCTTTGCTTACGTTTTTGTTTGTTTGTTATTTAACGCCGCCCTCAGCAATGTTCCAGCTACATGACGACAGTCTGTAAATAATCGAGCATGGACTAGACAATCCAGTGATTGACATCACGAGCATCTATCCATGCAATTGACCACCCGATTCCCCATAGTCGCCTCTTACGACAAGCAAAGTCGCCTCTAGCGGCAAGCATGGTTTGCTGAAGACCTATTCTCTTCACGGTTCCTTTGCTTACGTAATCTGTCGGTTGCCTGTCTTTGCTTACGTCATCCGCTGGTTGATTGTCTTTCATACGTCATGCACTGGCTGCTTATCTGTGCATTGTCATCCGCTGTTGCTTGTGTCTGCTTTCGTCTTCCGCTGTTGCTTGTCTTTGCTTACATCATCCGCTTGTTGATTGTCTTTCTAGCGTCATCCGCTGGCTACGTGTCTTTGCTTACGTCATCCGCTGGTTGATTGTCTTTCATACGTCATGCACTGGCTGCTTATCTGTGCATTGTCATCCGCTGTTGCTTGTGTCTGCTTTCGTCTTCCGCTGTTGCTTGTCTTTGCTTACATCATCCGCTTGTTGATTGTCTTTCTAGCGTCATCCGCTGGCTACGTGTCTTTGCTTACGTCATCCGCTTGTTGATTGTCTTTGCTTACGACATCCACTATTAGATTGTCTTTGTTTAAGTCGTCACGACATGGCTGACTTTTTGCCGATGTGACGGTAAATTCACTATCAATTCACTGTAGACTCACTATCTCACTTGTTTAAGTCATCCGATAGTTGATTAAGTTAGTTTGTCTTTATTTAGGCCATCCGCTGATTGGTTCTATTTTTTCACGTACCCGGATGCACTGTCTCCTGCAAACCAATCTGCATTGTGTATTGTTTACAACTGATAGTAAAAATGTAACAGCCAATAATTCTAATTGTGGCCAACATTGTACCTTATAGGCTGCCAATCATCCAGGGAGGGTCACACACATTTATTCCACCCATCGTCGCCATGATGTCGTTGAAGAAATGGGAATGTCCACCAGATGGTGCGTAATATGACTGAGTGGGTGTGGTTTTATACCGCTTTTAGCAATATTCCAGCAATATCACGGCGGGGAGACACCAGAAACTTGGCTTCACACATTATACCCATGAGGGGCAACGAACCCGGATCTCTTGCCTGACGAGCGAACGCCTAAAACAACTGGGCTACCGCACCGTACCAGTGCGTCATACGAAATGAATATTGCTCCATACATAATGTGATTGGAATTACAGCAAATCCACATTTTGGGTATCAGAGTCTACTTTAGGTCTAAGGCAAATACATTTTTACATAATGAGTGGGAGAAACTGGGAATTTTAAAAAGTATAATTTTGTTGCACATTTAAAAAAAAAGAAGGTTTAACATGTATATTCTGCATGTACGGGTGTATTGTACTCATGCAAAACGTTCGATATTATATGATTTGTTTAGAACAAATGTCACTGCAATTGTTGCTTGTCAGAATTCAATGACAAATATATTTTAATTGAATAATTGCTGCGGGTGACCTGCACTACAAATGCATCTGATTATGTAAACTTAATAAGTCAGATGCATAAATATAAACGACATCATGCATATACAATGTAATCTTTGCATATCATGCGCAGATGCTGTCTCGGTTAGACACTGCTATAGTATTTCCAAATAGCATCACCCTTATCATAGATTGTTAATTAACAACATACATGCGTTCAATTCCTATTTGCAGATATTGCTGCTGGAAACGAAACGATAGAAGCAGCATGGTTGCCACGGATACGAGAGGTGGGTCATGGGAACTGCATTAAAATGAACCAACCATCAGCTGCATTTCAGGTAAACTTCTGAAATATTTAAGTATCGTTATGGTTCAGCTTGTTAACTAATTTTCAGATACAAGGAAACCTGATCCTGGCCTCTCTGACCCAAGTCGTCCTAGGATGTACAGGGTTAATTGGCTTCCTCCTCAGGTTCATTGGGCCCCTCACGATCGCCCCAACCATCTCACTCATTGGTCTCTCGTTGACGGTGGTTGTCAACGACTTCAGCAAGTCCCATTGGGGTGTGGCGTTTCTGTGAGTGCATTGTCCCTGTTTTTCATTAACACAAACAGGTTTGGAGCACACGAACACGGCTTATTGCCCAAGCATGTAGCTGCTTTACACTTAGTTGAAAATTGAAACAATGCTTGATGAAGTAATGAATTACAATAAAGAATGTAATGATTCTCAGTCGAGATGACATTTCAGATCTTACATTTATATTTGGTTCAGTGACACAAACATCTCTAGTGCATGATATGTAGAACGTGTAAATAATATCGGTTATCACCAACGTTTGAATAAACGGCGTGTTACCATGTTCTGTATTGACATTACTTATCAACAAGATAATAACTTTGATCCATGGTTTCAAAGATATTTTGTATCACATCTACCTATTGGTGCAAGTACAGGTACTGTCATTAAGCGGGCATGTGTAGCCCAGTAGGTAAAACAAATTGTAACTTGAGTGTGGTACCTTCAGAATCAGGAATGAGAAGACGACACATATCAGTTTAATTATTTATGTAATGTTAAAGAATAAAACAAACATATTCTGAAAACAAAATTAATTATTTGTCTTCACACCAATGACCTCCTGAAACAATTGTTATTGTTTTCAAGGAACAAGCGATGATAAGTTGACACAATCATAGTGATATACATGCTACTGTTGATATTAATATATCTTTTCAGTGGTAAATTTATTGATATCTTTTTCATAATTAATCTTTTCAAAATAATAGTTACATTGTTGTAATATTATTTCATATGAACGAGATCAGTAGAGACATCCAAATAGTGTTAAGATTGAAACCCACAATTATAAGGGCTGTCCAAAAGTGCTAATACCTCGCCACACGGAAACTGTAAACGTTTCCCGCATATCGATATCCTGTTGGTCTATCCCCGCCTTCTCGGCAGACATACCCGCCATGGGTCAACGTGTTTAGTGTAAATTATAGTTAGGAACGTTTTGATAAAAAAATCTCAAAATTATTTATACAACTCGTATGTACTCATATTATGTTACATACGTTTCTTTACAGCTCTTTAACTATAATTCATCACCATGTAACTTTCGCATCCCCCCCAAATAAAATAAAATAAATTATATATATAAAAAATATTTAAATAATTTATTTATATAGTGTAGATATATATATATATCATGTTCAATGTTCCAGCTCCATGTGTCTGATACTGATGTTCTCGCTGTTCCTGGGTCGCTTCAAGCCGCCCGTACCTTCCTTCAGCAGGGCTAAAGGCTGCCATGTCTCACGATATCCTCTCTTTCAACCAGCCCCGGTACAACCCTACTCTTTGTACTTTTGTCATACTTTGTTATTATGTTTTGTGTGGTTTGTTATGTCTCCCCCAGAATGGAGGGAGACATATTGTTTTTGGCACGGTTCCCGTCGGCGTCGGCGTCGGCGTCGGCGTTGGCGTCGGCGTTCCCACCGCTTCCGGACCATAACTCAGAAACCGTTTAATATTTTTTCGCGAGACTTTGTATACACATTAACCCAGCACTGAAGTATTGCCTTTTGCTATTTAGAGATTTTTGACATTTTTATTTTTTCTCGTTTGCATGGAGATAACTTGAACATAGACTCTGAATGGGGGTAAGCTTGGTTTCCGGACCATAACTCGGAAACCGTTTAATATTTTTTCGCGAAACTTTGTATACACATTAACCCAGCACTGAAGTGGTGCCTTTTGCTATTTAGAGATTTTTGACATTTTTATTTTTTCTCGTTTCCATGGAGATAACTTGAACATAGACTCTGAATGGGGGTAAGCTTGGTTTCCGGACCATAACTCAGAAACCGTTTAATATTTTCGCGAAACTTTGTATACACATTAACCCAGCACTGAAGTGGTGCCTTTTGCTATTTAGAGATTTTTGACATTTTTATTTTTTCTCGTTTCCATGGAGATAAGTTGAACATAGGCTCTGAATGGGGGTAATCTTTGTTTCCTGACCATAACTCGGAAACCGTTTAATATTTTTTCGCGAAACTTTGTGTACACATTAACCCAGCACTGAAGTGGTGCCTTTTGCTATTACAGTTTCCATGACACCACATATGTCATTGTGTAGAAGACCTGCAGAGTCAGATACACGGGCAATTACATCACAGAGACTTTCCTTTGTGCCATTTTACATTGCTTCATCATTTCTGATATGTTGGGGATATTAATATATTTGTGTCCAAACTCTATTAGTACTTTAAGTGGATTTTCTACAAATACTTCAGTAACAAGAAAACTGTGCTACTTAGATGACTACACTGTCAGGTGGGTAAATGATTGAGGGATTAGTGGTGTTGATTGGACGCTGAAGTGGTGCCCATTAGTTGTTTGAAATTTCTAGGAGTTCTATTTTTGTCTCTGTTACTTAGTAATGGAGGGTGGGAATGAAGAGATGGGGTTTAACGTGAAGTAAACGAATGAATGGGGGTTAGGGGAGTGGGGGGAGACATATGTTTTTACGAGTAAAAACACTTTCTAGTTGTTTTTGTTTCACGCTGCACTCAGCTATATGACGGCGGTCTGTAAATAATCGAGTCTGGACCAGACAATCCAGTGATTGACATCATGAACATCGATCTACGCAAATTTCGATACGATGACATGCGTCAACCAAGTCAGCGAGCCCGACCACCCGATCCCCTTAGACGCCGTCTAATGACATATCAATATGCAACCGTATTAACATGACTTCATGGTAATCACAGGTACATTTCTAACAAATATTTTTAAATCCATTGGCCCGATTGTGATTTTCCACACAACTATAGCGAGAATCTGACCAATTAAAGAGGTCTTCAGGTGAAGCAGTGAGTATATTGTGAAGTGCGCCACATGTGTGTATTCAGATGTTCATTTGTTTCCTTGTAGGTTTTGCTTGCTATCGGTATATCATGGCTGTTCTGCCATGTGCTCACCATCACTGACGTCTTCCCCAACAACGCCACGTTGCCTGGGTACCTTGCCCGCACCGACGCCGCCTCGAGACTCCAGGCCGTCGACAATGCACCATGGTTCTACTTCCCGTATCCATGTAAGTGTACCTCTAAAGCAAGCCCTAGGTGTCCAGTGGCATTGTGTGGGCTGAGCGTTTTGGAAAATGTTGCACCATCTTCAGAAATTTCTTATATTTCGTAGTTCCGCTGTTTTGTCTTTACGCCCAGTGGAGACTGGTTATTCTCTTGCGTTGATGTTTTATATTAAATTGTGCAAAACAATTTTTTCTGATATTTACATTTCTTTGAGAGGCATTTAGGAGTTGAACTACTAAGTAAGGCTAAGATATATGGATGAACAACATCTTTATTACAATTAGGAGCGACTATCAACCGTGACGAAGGCTCTGACATACACCCTGCGTACCTTCAGCTCATCAAAGACCCCAATTTGTCATTATCCTTTTGTTTTTATTACTGGCTTAATCCTTTTGGTTGATTGGTTGGTTTGTTGTTTAACGCCGCACTCGGCAATATACCGGCTATATGGCGGCGGTCTGTAAATAATCGAGCCTGGACCAGACAATCCATATCACAATTAATATCATGAGCATCGATCCACGCAATTGGGACCGATGACATGTATAAACCAAGTCAGCGAGCCTGACCACCCGATCCAGTTAGTCGCCTTTTTCGAAAAGCATATTCGCCTTTTTACAGCAAGCATGGGTTGCTGAAGACCTATTCTACCCTATTCACGCGTCTTACCCTTTTGTTTATACTATTGACTTCGCTGGTCAACTACATTTATGTTTACACAACAGGCGTCTCCACTATGTAACTATATCTGATATCTACTCTACTGCATAAACACTGCCTCCTACCTGTACCTATACTTGTCAAGCATGTTTGCTTGAAAACGATGTAAGAACCTACATCGAAACGTCGTTCCTATTTGTAATAAAGAAGTTGTTCGTCCATATATCTTATCCTTACTGATATTTAGAGTTCAACTGTATAAAGATATGTGTATACAAAGTGAAATGAAATCTCCTTTTTGGCTTTAAACAGGGAAGTGGTAAGAATTCGTCCCTCGAAAATATACCTGTGAAGATCCGGTGTAGAATAGGTCTTCAGCATCCCATTCTTGCCGTAAAAGGCAACTATGCTTGTCGTAAGAGGCATCTAACGGCATCGGGTGGTCAGACTCGCTGACTTGGTTGAAGCATGTCATCGATCCCAATTGCGTGGATCGATGTGTATGATAACAATCACTGGATTGTCTGGTCCAGACTCGATAATTTACAGACCGCCGTCATGTAGCTGGAATATTGCTGAGTGCGGCGTAAAATCAACAAGCAAACCCTCGAAAATACGTGAATGACTCATGGTAAGGAGAACATAAAAGGAAAAGTAGATTTTTCGTGCCTTGTAGCTACTCGGGTAAACACCAGTTGGCCATACTGCTCATTGTTATGTAGGACAACTTAAACACATCAGAATAATTTAGTAAACACTGCCAGTTAGAAAATGCAGGTGCATACAAGACGCATTTTTCCAAATCTGTTTGTCATCGATTTCAGTCCAGTTTGGAATGCCGACCTTCAGTGCTGCAGGGTACGTTGGGCTACTTGCGGCAACCATCAGCTCAGTGATTGAATCTATTGGGGACTATTTTGCTGCCGCTAGAGTGTCAGATGCTCCACCTCCCCCACCCCACGCTATAAACAGGGGGATAGCAATGGAAGGATTTGGGAGTATCATTTCTGGAATGGTGGGGTCGGGCCATGCAACAACGTCCTACAGCGGCAACGTTGGTGCCATTGCCATAACAAAGGTGTCTTCATTTCGTTTGGGTTTAGGGTGTTTCCTGCATATGTACCTGGTGTATTATTAGTTATGGTGTCTTTGGTTGCCGTATGCGATGTCATATTTGGTTAGCAGAAAAATATTGGATGATGCGTGAGCGGAGCCCAATATTTTTTTCTGCTAACATAATATGACACCGTATACGGCAACTAAAGACACCATAACGAATTTATTATGTCGAAAAGTTTACACTCTGGTATCCATATAAACTTGACACGTATAACCGTTCGTCAAAGGGAGACTACTCTTCTAACCTTAGAGGCCAAACCTTGTTGACAATATAATCTATATCAATAATGTCACGAACGTGATCTAAAACATAGATTAATGTCCTTCACAATTTATGATGGCAAAACACAAAACCGTGTCAAATAACGAATTTCGGTACCAGAATGTACATGTGAAATATGTGAGGTGGGTATTGGGAAATCAAAAATGGCTGTTACTGACTGTATACGGTCTCATATTAGGTCAGTCGTTAGTTTTGTTTGGCTTGTTGTTTAACGCCGCACTCAGCAATATTCCAGCTATATGACGGCGGTCTGTAAATAATCGAGTCTGGACCAGACAGTCCAGTGATTGATTTCATGAGCATCGATCCACGCAATTTGGATCGATGACATGCTTCAACCAATTTAGCGACGCTGACCACCCGATCCCGTTAGTCGCCTATTACGACAAGCATAATCGCCTTTAACGGCAAGCATGGGTTGCTGAAGACCTATTCAATCCCGGAACTTCGCGCGTTTATTAGGTCAGTAACAACCATCTTGGATTTGTACTGAAGATATACGGGCTCATGTGGGGTAAGTAGTTCTGCTCTCTGATTGGTCAATCTCACTTTGAGGCATAATAATTTGTTATATGAACAGCTCTGTTAAGGAAACAAACGTTTTAATGCAATCTGTGTTGGCTGACGTTCGTGGAGTAGATATAACATCAATATACTAATGAATTGATACGAACGTTTTACAGATATACATTGATGGAAAGTGTGTGTAATTCTCAACTAAAATGAACAATACCATTATTATAACCAAGAAAAAAGTAGGTAAATGAAAATACCAGAATACAATTTTATAATTACTGACGAGATACTGAGTGAATGTACTTGGTTTTGAAAAGTTATTTCAAAACAGAAGTATGATACAGCAGTTTTTATTCCAAATTTGTTGACGAAAATTCAATATAAATACAAAATTGGTGAAAGTGTTCTCAACTTCCAGTGTATCCAAAATATTCAGACAATTTCAGGGTACTACCGTTCCACCTCTAGATACTTCCAGTGTATTACATCCAAATGAGAAAGGAGTCAAAGACTTTGTCAAACAAATTAGATAGACATTATTAAACACAATGTAGATTGATTTATATCGTAGACAACTACCTCACTGAATATAAACTACTGTTAAGCATTATTCTTATACACGTTTGATGATATATTATAATAGGGAAGGGTTTCGTGTTCAAGAGAATATTCTAGGTTTCATTGTACTTCAGGTTGCCAGTCGTCGAGTGTTCCAAACAGCCGGCTTGTTGCTGGTACTGTGTGGCCTTGTGGGTAAATTTGGAGCTGTCATCACTCTTATACCGGAGCCAATCATCGGGGGGCTAAATGCTGTCCTCCTGGGGATGGTGGCGGCTGTTGGAATCTCCACCCTGCAGTTCACTGATCTCTCGTCCTCAAGAAATCTTACGATACTTGGTCTTTCATTGATGCTGGGGCTTGGAATCCCCCAGTGGATATATGCAAATCCGGACGCGATAAATACAGGTATGCATCAGGTAGACCAGCTGCAGTTAATGAAGGCTGCATATGTTCCTCGGAGACAGGTTCCTTAACAGTGAGGAGATTGGCCGACCATTTAAAATAGTTGACAAAAAGTAAAGGAGGAACGCGTCATATTTTTTTCTACTCATCTGGACGCACAACAGACAAACACATCTGGACACACATTGAAGCCGACTCTTTAATACGATGTCCATTAACAGGCTGGATAACAGAGTCTGTTTCATATGGCGCGGAAATGTGAAACATTTATTTTATTGGCCATAACAATGACTGATGCACAGTATTTAAAGTGACACGTGAATGCTCGAGTAGACTAAAATCTAGTCTCTGAAATGAACATATCGTACATAAAAAACAGTTGTTTAGTTATCTTAATAAAATATAATAAAAAGGAGCCCAGTGACTCTCTTCATTTTCATACTGCAGTGATCTAGACTTGCCAAACATTATAGACTTGCATGGGCTGTATTTGATATATATTTGTATCAGGGTCTGTAAGACAGACTAATGCTCGAGAAGCATCTCCTTTTCTCAGCCGAAGTACGATTAGCTACATTTCTTAACCAGGTTGTGTCACAGCCTTACGAGTTTTTCATGCCCTAGATCGTATACATATTTTAAAGTACTATTGTTTGTTTTCGAAATGACAAGAAATCTACCAAATATGTTATACAAAATTCAGTATTAGTTATTGGCAGAGATATTGATGCAGATTACATTTAGTAGATGGTACTCAAAACCAATTTCGTGGCCCTTCAACATACATGACATATGTCCATCACTGTTAGGATATGTACTTGACAATGATATGAATTTTTGGACATTTAGATTTCAAACAAGGGCACTTACTTGACTTTACTTGCCATATTCAGGTGCTTCCATATTACGATTAATGTAGACGAGTAAGAAAACTTACAATACCAGCACTTTTATCAATGGCAAGGCAGTGTATAGATCTTTTGGATATGTTGACTTTAGATACTGTTGGAACGACAATCAACTCGAGTTGCATGTTATACAATTTGGTTACACTGTGTGAAGAAATTAGAATGTTGTAACACTTTAAATTTTGATACAATGAAAATTTTTAAAACTGCGACGTCATCACAATGCGGCACTGAGCGGTGTGCAGGCTGACTGACGACCAGGCACCAAGAGTGTTAATCTAAATGAGATTTCGATATCAAAGCTCTTCATGTTTTGAATAATGATACACAATTTAAGAAGCAATGTCTTTTCGATGTTACTCCATTGTAATTACTGTCTATTATAAATACTAATAATCAGACGGTATATTTGTTTTTAAGGCAATACAGAGTTGGATCAGGTTATCAATGTTCTCCTGGGCACCGCCATGTTTGTTGGCGGATTTATTGGCTGTTTTCTCGACAACATTGTACCAGGTGAGTCGGGATAGAATCAATGCAGTGAACATTAGTATGGGGTCCATGTCAGGTCGAATCGGAAGGCTAAAGTCTGATTGTGACTATGCAATGATGCATGTTGACATACAGGTAAGGCATACATGTACCTCCTGAATAAACCGACGGTTTTAGATGCTGCAACTCGAGGTGCAGAGTTGTGTCCCTTTAGATGCTGCAACTCGAGGTGCAGAGTTGTGTCCCTTAGCTGCCAGGATCCGCTGGTACCGGTGCTGGGTCCCAGTTTCACCCTCATGCTGATCCCGTCTGCCAAACATTTCACGAATGTGATGAACTTTTTAGACCTACGCAATTTGGATGTGTCTTCAGAGTGACAAAACACTCTCCAAAAGACTGTATGGCAAGAGGAATGACTTAAAACTTGACAATAGTCAACTTTCCCTTCATGTCGAGCACTATTTCAACAGTTCCAGCATTTGATGTTTACATTTCACAACTTTTGAGAAACAATCGGGCATAATCTTCCTACCGAGATTTCAATGAGCGTCATACGACTCTTGCTCAGAAGCTGTTTGATCAAACATTCAAGGCCTCAGTGAAGCATCAGTGACCAAAATGATGTCCGATGCAATTCTCTATTTTGACTTGTACCATATATTCCCCCGTTGTGTAAGGTGAACTGACTTGCCTTTGCATGTGTTTGTGACGGGTGCCTCCGCTGGGGCAGGATACGCTCACCTTTTATCGAATGTATCATCACTATTTGATAGTGATTCATAAACACATGCTCATGATGTAGTCGGAATCGAGCTATCGATCTGCTTTATGCAGAGATTTCTATCGTATATGGAAAGGGTTTTGTCGCTTTAATCCCATATTGACCAGGGTACCCCACGTGCTACAACTGGGATCATGTTGGTATATGTAATCTTTATATAGTCACTTTATATTGACAGACATTGGTGTACGGAAACTTTGTATAATTAATGTAGTATGGGTATCACTTCATGTGTGACAGACCGCCTCCGTGGTCTAGTGGTAGAGCGTCCGCCCGGAGAGCGGAAGGTTCGGGGTTCGATCCCCGGCCGCGTCATACCAAAAGACGTTAAAAGGTGGTACTTGTTGTTACCCTGTCTAGCGCTCGGCATTAAGGGGCTAAAACAAGGACTGGTCGGCTCGGGATCAGTATACTGCGTCTTGGTGGGGTATTCATGTTAAACTGCGGCATGGTATCTCAGTGAGCTAGCACTTTAATTCGGCATCAGTCCGGACTAGTACAAGCAGCCACACACACGTGTATGCACGTCGCTATCACAGCAAAAAAAATGCAGTTTCCGGTATCCGGATACCTGCCGGATACCACCGGACACTTACCCAAAACGCGTCCGGGTATCCGGTGGCAGATACCTTGCCCGATACCAGATCCGTGGTATCCGGCATGGACACCTCACCTGAAAGTATGCCACCTGGAATCCGGGTATCCGGCACCGGATACCTCACCGGATACCTCAATCTGGGTGTCCAAGGATCCGCACCGGATACCAAGAATCCGGCACCGGATACCTCATTCTGAGTTTCCAAAAACATGTAACAATTTGGGGGTGCATTTTGTTCAATTAAGTGTGAAACACCTAAATATATATTGGAAACTAACCATGAAAATTGAACATTGCTGAAGGTATCCGGCAGGTATCCGGCAGGTATCCGGATGCAATTTTTCGAGATGTCTTATTTCTGGTAAATAATGTTAGCCTGGGCATATCAGATAGCTGTAGTAATATTCTGTGTCATTTTAGTTGTAAATATCCCCTTAAAGTTGAGATCTATGGCCATGTACTTTTGGAGAAGACAATTTTTTTCAATTTCATCTATAATTCTTTTTAGATGTTAAGCTGTTTAATGAACAAACATCAGTTCTAATACATGTATGATGATATCCTTAAATTTCATGTTCAGACTTCCAGATTATTCTGAGTGAAAGTATAAACTCAGCGACTGTGTGCTCACTTGGGCCTTTGGTCCTAGTGAGATGATAATATGATTATTTGTAAAGGTACAAGTACTTGTTATGAGCATACCAGCTTCATTTAAGTTTGAAACACAATATGCCTCACTCTGAGGGTGACATGTACCAGATTTCATCACACTACAGAGAGCTGTTCCTCAGTTACTGTGAACATTTTTACTGAAAGACATTGAAAGCTAATTTGACCTTCAATATCAGTTGCGACTATTTCAAAAACAATTGTAAAGTGCTTCATTCAGTGTAATATTGACAAACATATGACAATGATATACAACTATGTGTATAAGAGTTATTTAGACTTCTGCGGGAAAAGGCACATTAGAGAACAAGAGTCATCAGAAAGATGACATATCCCCCCGGCAGCTGTCTGTAAAGTAACCACTAGTGCATTTCTGTATGTAATGAGTCAACAGTTGAATGTTCTTTCAGAAGCATACATTGTTTACCCACAAAAGATCCACCATGGTCGCATCCATATGAATGCCAAGTTTCGATCAAATACATTGAATGTTTTTCGAATTCTGCCCCAGAAATGAACCTCATCCCCAATTGAGTCTATGTCCAACTTGATTCCATTAAAAAAAAAAAAAAAAAAAAATTAGAAAAATCCCAAAATTTGAAAGGCACCACTTCAGTATGTGCATGATAGCTTTGCCAAGTTTCGATCAAATACACTGAATGGTTTTCGAATTCTGCCCCGGAAACGAACCCCATCCCCAATTGAGTCTATGTCCAACTTCATTCCATAAAAATTTAAAAAAATAAAAATTAGAAAAATCCCAAAATATCAAAAGGCACCACTTCAGTATGTGCCTGATAAGAGTTGCCAAGTTTCGATCAAATACACTGAATGGTTTGGGAATCGGACAGACGGACAGACAGGCTGATCACTATATCCCCCGTATTATATGCCGGGGGATAAAAAGTAAGTGTATGACCTGTTGCCAACTTCTATCCCTGCCCTAAGGAAGAGTTTGGCCATTAACAATTTTTTTGTCTGGCTGTGACATTGACCTTTGACATAGCAGATCAATGTGTTATTCCAAAGATGTCCAAGCAATGCATGGTTTTATACGATAACTGTGGCTATCAAACTGAGGCAAAATATTGGAAAATCCCCATTTACACAGCTGGCTAAAGAAACAAACAACAAACAAATTATCAATTTCTTTTATTTATATGCATATATCACACATTGAACAGTGTTCATATAATGGTTCCTGATGCAGTATGCACTTTCCTCCTATTCTTCAATACTCATAACAGAGCGGGATAACTGTTCGCTTGAAAGCATCAGCAGACCATGCTCACCAGTTCAGAGTTACTTGCCCTCAAACATCCTTTTCCTTCTATATTGCCATGGAAAAACAGGAACCAGGATGAGGGGAGGCCAGATGGGCTCTATCCCTGTTGCATTGTGTTAGTAGAATTGTGAACATTCTATTTGGTGTTTGGGTCCACATTTATAGACAAGTAGTCGCAAACATCATTCCTTTCAAGTGATTACCACATGGCCAAAGACAATAATTTCTTCAACGTCCTTGAAGGATCCCACTCCGACTTGGCATTGGTTGGTCTTCTCCCATTTGCCTGACCACCCTTTGTGAGTGTGTCCCAGTGTCAATTGGCATATAACTTCTCGGTAGGCTCCCATTGAAATAACAGGACTCTCCTCATCGCTGTCTGACAATCACTTCGGATATCTGGAAGGGCCCTTCCAGACTGTCAACCTGTCACCCGGGTATCTCAAGCTGGACTTCAGTTTCTGCAAAATTATGTATAAAGATTGTAGCAAAAGAAAAGAATTGTTGCAACATGTACTTACAGATAAAAGGCAGCAAATTCACTTAATTTATCATCTTTGAGTTTTGTTATATACCAAACATTTGAGATATATATTGTTCCATGCTGATGAGTTGAAACAATCATTAACTGACATCTCTTAAAAATGTTCCTAGCAACCTATGCTTGCCATACAAGCCAAAGTAATAGATGAGGTAGCAAGTGGGCTCATTGAAAGCTCGTAATCGTACCCAATAACATGGGATGTTGTCCATAACAGTCATCATCGGTGCGTCTGGATCGAGCTCATAACATTAATCTCTGGTTTGTCTAGTTGAGATTTGAGATTTGATTAATTTATAATCCTTGTCATTTAGCCGAACTATTGCTGGATGTGGTGTTAAATGAGTGAATTGGGTTTAACGCCTCTTTGAACAGTATTCCAGTTATATCATGGCATGTAAGCTTGATGTGGGAAGAAAGCCCGAAGTGATGCAGGTCTTACATGTTTACCACTTTGATGAAACCCACAAGCAAGTGTATGATGCTACCCTCGATTCAAACCCACGACCACCGGTTTCTGTCAAGCCCAAGAGATGCAACTATGCACAGCAAGTTGTAGTGCCTTTGATAATTAGGCCATCCATGCCAACAGGTGATAAAGAACAAGCAAACTGAAGAAATATTTGCAGAATAGCTACATGAACATGATGAACCAAACAGAATAATTTCAAATATTTACCACTCACTGCTACTCTTCTCTTGTTCCTCATTGCTTCCCTTTTTCCATTGATGCTGTGCAGATGACTGACTCATTCATTCATCCAGACATTCTGCAAACATAAGTAGCATTCACATTAGAGAAATGTCCAAACTGTACATGCTGTACATTGTATTCAATTGAAAAGGCCCCAGTTGAGTTTCCAACTTAGAACTGTCCTTATTAAAATATTTCATCCCAAACATTCAGAGATAAAACATAACCCCATATTTAACAACTGTCAAACAATTATTTGACAACAAAGCCAGGGTCATTCAACATACACTTTACATAAGGAATCACTTGTTGCAAAAAAGATCCTCGCCAAGGTCAGAGTCATTCCATGAAATATTGAATGATTAAGTTATGAAGCTTATACAAAACAAGGACATAACAGTGTAATTATAACAATATCCTAAGCGTAAAAAAATAAAGTCTTTGGTGGCCATTATT